GATGTGTTATCTGGAAGAGGCGTATGCGGGTGTAGTTGCAACATGTTTTTGCGTCTTTCTGGTCACGTGCCTTTTGGCTCGCGTTCTCCTCTTGTTTTTTCCGTCCAACGCCTTCATGGCTTCCGCCAGGTCGTTACACACGTTCGATCGTAGCAAAAGATGAATTGTAATAATCGTGCACGGCTGTCAATTTGTCGATAGCCACAAAAGTACTGGTAGTGGACCTGTACGCAGTCCAGTATGCAGTCCCAGTAAGAAAACCAAAAACACAAAACAAACCACAAAAGCAAACAAGCAAAAACAAGAAAACAACAAACCAACAACAAAAACCAAAAAACAAAGCAAAAACAAAACAACCAAAAAACACCAAGAAGTGGGATCGCTACCAGCAAAGGGGATTCATGCATGATGACATCTTGTGTGTCATGATGAGAATGGCCCGTAACAAGAAGCAAAACAAAGAACCACAACAAAAACACCAGGGGCCAGGTCAGAGGGTGTAAGAAGCAACAAAGCTCAATGCAGAAACCAGGGATCCCCCCAGCCAGGATCCCCGAGATCACAAAGAGCAGCCGTTCAGGCATGACATTCTCGTTCACTAATGCCTTAGCGTCCGCAAGTGGCCGGTCAACGACAATGGCAATAAGCATTTCGCCACCATCTTTCTGGATGAGGGCTGGTCGGGCGGCTTGCATCTGTGCAAGGATCGCCACCGCCTTGTTTTCGCACAGGGTGCGTTCCCATTCCTCTGGGGCTCTTTGCGCCAAGGTGCCAGTTTGTGGTGGGGCATTTTGAGCTGCCGGTGTCCCCAATGCACGGATGAAGGGACTATCAGGCAGCGTGGAAGACGGCAGGTTTGTGATAGCGGCTACTGCTCGAGAAATGTCACCATCTTTAACTTCATAAGAAGGGGAAGATTTCTGTCCAATGGCCGGCTCGAAGTCAGCCCAAAGTTGCTGCAGTGTGTAGCCTGTCTTCGGTTCCATGTACCTTCTGTTCCATACTGCGTTGTGAGACCATTGAGGTGCGGCATGGTTTATCTCGACTGAATCCCTTTTCATGTCATATTCTTTTAACATGTCATCGAGTTCTTGTAGGGTTGCAGATCGATGAATACAACATTGCCTAACGGCACCATCGATGCGTAGTGGCCATCCCACTGGCATGTGGGAGTCTTCCAAAAGCCCATCACCATTTTGTTCGATGATTGTGCCTAGCATTGGGACATCAATTTGCCTTGAGGCTAACCTGTGCTCGTTTGCATTTCCAGGTATCTGGTGCGAGCAAGCCACGTGAGGCCAGTAATGCTAGTGCTGGGAATTCCGGTTGGTCCTTCATCGGCAGCACCTCTTCTTTAATAACTAGTTTAAGGCCGTGCAGCGGTTGGGGCTGCCCTTGGTCTGTTTGAGGTGCAGGCCCTTTGGGCACCGCGATGTCTTCAAACCAGGTGGGGCGGACAGACTGGACACCTATTGGACTGGCGGAACTCGCGTTCTTGATGCTTTCCCTACGCAAGCTGTGGTAAACCGGGGGGATCATCCATGCAGGCACAAAAACAGTGATAAACTGAACGTTCCAGATGACCTGTAGGTTCTGCGGCTTGATTTCTGGAGTGATGCATCTAACTTGGCCATCTATGACTCGCGTGTATGATTCGGATCGGTCAAAACGATGCTGTGACTTTCAAGCCGAGATATAATTCTCTAAACCAGTATTCTTTGAGCGACATAAAGGAAAGATGAGGTGCCCTCACTTCCAATACGTGCATTGCTGGTATCAGGAAGGTGACTAACCATTCCGCCAAAAATTCAATCATCCTTGCTTCAAGCTTTCCGAGGATTTTCTGGACCGCCTGGAGCGCTGTCTCGATATGTGTAGCCGAGGGTAATCCTACTGTTCGCCTGGCATATTCGTCGGCAAAGTAGAGTCGGCACAATTTGGAAACCCACTGGCTTGGTTTCTCCATATCTATTGTGATCTTAGCCAGGGGCCATGGGTCGGGTAGCGTGGATAGGCAATGCAGTAACTCTGAAGTTAGTTCTGGAGATATTACTGGGAGCGCCCCTCCTTGTGGTCGATAATCTGCGGTTGCCCTGCTGTGCCTTTGCTCATTTGTGTGTGTGGATGCGGGCTGCCTTATGCACTTCTTGTATGGTGGACTCATATTGGTTGACCATAGCTTTTTAAGTACTTGCATGCGCGGACCGCTGCCCTCCTTGTATTCGGCCCATCTTCCGCCTGATTCTTGGCGGCTGTCGCAAGGATGTCTCTCGCTTCTTCTTCTGGCGACCGGGTTGGTTCCGTACCAGCTGCAGGTGCGGTCGGAGCGATATCCTGGACTGGCGCTTCTTTGGTGCGTGGTAGGTGGCCGGGGATTGGCAGCATTGTTTCCTGATCAGGGCCAGTCTGCGCCACAATCTGCCCAGTACGCGCCTTGTACAATCCCTGAGGGCAGGCGTGTATATGTGGGAAAGGTTTTTTTTCCGTCCAACGCCGTATGGCTTCCGCCAGGTCGTTCAACATGTTTCAAAAGTAAACTGGTGGAGGACCTATACATAGTCCTATTGACTGTCACGATCATTGGAAAGCAAAAAACCAAAAACAAAACACCAGGAAACAAAACAACAAAACACCAAAACCAGAACCCACACACACAAAGAGCAAACACCAACACAAACCACCAAGCAGTGACGTGACAGTTACCAGTTTATGGGTGAAAAAGATCAATTGAGCAAGAGGTGATAGCTTAATATCATCTTGGCGCATGCAAATGACAACTTGTGTGCCATGTGGACGCAGGCCCATAAAAATAAACAACAAAAAGACCAACCACAAAATCACAATGGGCCACTAGGGAGGGTGCAGGAAGCAACAAAGCTCAATGCGGAAACCAGGGATCCCCCCAGCCAGGATCCCCGAGATCACAGAGCAGCCTTCACGGCATGACATTCACCCTGACACTTTGAAGCAAACACCGACAACGCCGGGTCGCAACGAAAGTGGTGAGAAAAACTACCACAGTGAAACAGGAGAGTGAAACATGATCTAAGGTGAAAATGTCAGCAAGGCTACAGCACTCAGGGCACACTCAGAGTCTGCTCAGTAGTGCTTTTCCAATTATCATACTCGCAAGAGTTAGACATGTGCATTGCCACGAGTGCAGAAAGGCTCTGTGCACAGTTGTCTTTTTCTTCGCCTGCATCAAAATTGTGGTTGCGGTAAGCACCACTGTGCTAGTGCTCTTGCAACTCGTCTTCATGGTATGGGAGATTGTACTCATTATCAGTGCGTGGTGATATCTGTGCATTAAGCTCTTCCGATGACGTGCTGGCTCCTCTGGCTGTATGATCAAGCTGTAGTATGGCTTTCTGCGCCTAGGTTACTTCGTAACTGGCAGATATTGTACAACTATCCAATATACAGCCAATCTGGCGGAGTTGGCGTATGGCCGCATCAAGGTCAGTGACTCTTGGGATGGGATGTTTTGGATGCCTTGAAGAGAAGAAGTTTGGTGGCATCATCGACTTCGCTGGTACTGATCTGGCAGGGTCAGTTGGGTTTATGACTTTGCAAGACGATGGACAGCGGCGTCTTTGATAGGAGTCGGTCGTTCCATCCCAAAGGGCTAAGCTGTCTACAGGTTTTTCAGTAGACGTAAAGCCTCTGGGCATTCAGCTAACACTCACCTTGTTGCAACCTTGGTCGAGGAAAGGCATGGAGAGGTGTGGTGAAGTCATTTGGCCGGTCGACAGATTGGTTGAGCGAAGGTCAAACGGCGACGGGCACCATGGCTAGATGTACTTTGACATCGCACTACACTACCATACAACAATTAAGGTAGAACAACACGACCAAAACAAGTTAAAAACTCTGAAAAAGATTATTATAACCGCCCCCCACCGCCTCCCGTCCCATACTGGCTCCGGCATGCTTACAGCAAAGGTAGCCGCAGCGGGCAGTGGTCAACCATGAGTACCCCATAGTGACAACGCCGCTCAACCTAGGTCAAGTTACAGGCTGAATGCATGTATGGGAAACTTGGGTACCCTACGTTATCTCGAGTAGCTTACTGGAACTGCTCGTGTGAGGCGGTGCGAGGTTCTCCACTGCTACCGGCGCTACTGGCTGCGGTATTGGCGGGGGGGATCACTGCTCTCCGCTGGTTTCATCATTTGGCCGATGAGTGGGTGGTTTTGTTTTTCGCGCAGGATCCGCGTCAAGGTTTCGGGTCAAGTCCCCACGTCCGTTCCGGGATTGGGGTTTTTCCCATAGCCTCAGCGGGTTTCCCGTGTTTACCCGCGGGCTGCAGCCGGCGTATTTCATTTGCTTTGTCTGGATCCTCGCCGCGCGCCAAGCCTGGAATAAAGGTTAGGGGTCAACCTTTTCTCTCAAAACCCTGTCACCGCACTCCCTGCTGCCATTTGCTTGGCCACGGTTTTGCGATTTGGTTCATTTTGCTTAATTTTCTTTGGGGGGTTCAGCTGCCATTTACTTGGCCTTTACTTCGCCTGGATTATCACTATACCTTTGTGTTCCACTTCTGGCTCGGGCCTGTGTTTGGTTTTTTATCCTTTACACTCCCTGGACTATTTGTTGGACACCTTGGTCATTCTTGTCTTTGACTACACTGTGCTGCTGCCATTTGCTTGGCCACCACTTTGTATTGGTATTTATTCAATTTCCTTGTGTACCTCTTCTGGCTCGGGCTTGCGTTTGGTGACTTTCCCGCACGCTCCCCTTGCTTTGTTGGGCACCACGGACATTTTCTATTTTGTGAATGAGATCTTCTGTGGCAGTGATTTTTATTTTTCTCTTCTTGAACTACGACTTCTTTGTCCAATTCTCAGTGGCGGAAGCAGAGGCGTCAGAGGGCACTTGCAAGGGCTCGGTGGCATTCACATCTCACCGGTGCTGCCCCGCTGTCAGCTGGCCAATTACAGCATCTGATCCGAACGCTGGACAACCATCATTCAAGAGATCAACGATTTCTCCAGAAGATCATGGAGCAGATGGAATCGTATGCGTGGAACTGTCCCTGCGGACGGCTTTGTGGCAAACGCCATATGCATTGTCCGGACTGCCAAAGACACTGGGAACAAGGAACGCCGCATTCCAATCAGCCAAAGAGCCCGAGAGCCTATGCCAATCAGCAACGAGGCAATTGGTCATGGGAATGGACGGAGGATCAGCCAAGACGTGGACGGGGCGCGAAGAAAGCCTCCGGTACACCAACTTGGACAAGGAGCGCAAGTGCCAGGGCAAGAGCCGGCAAAGGATCGAAGAAAGGCAAAGGTCGAGGTCCCCAATTAGACCAACCATCACCTTTTGCCCAAACTTCGACACCATGGCCGCCGAGCGAGACCAGTTACAACTTTCCTGCTCCTCTGGCACAGCAACCTCCTATCACTCCGACTTTAGGGCAGCAATCTTCGGATGTCAACGATGCGGAGCTGATCCTTGCAGTGAAGGAGCAGTACCCCGACATATCCAAGGCGCCCTTGCGCATTCAGAACGCAGTTGCCAAGGCCGAGCGCACGACTCCGAAACAGCTCCAGTCCGGGCTGCACAAGACTTCCCATGCTGTTGGGGGAGCGGCGAAAGAGCTCAAGAGCCTGAAAGATGCCAAGATCAAGCACAGAGAGCGATGGCTGAAGCATCTGCACGACTCAGTACAGAGCTGGGAAAGTCAGCTCAAACTGTATGCCGAGCAGCAGAGCAATTACAATATGCTGATCAAGAAGGCCAAACAGGAGCTCAACACTGCACGACAGACATTGGAAGACCTGAACAAGAAGGCAGCCGGGCACGAGGATGCGGACCAGGACACAGCAGACCTGGAGGAGCAAAACCAAGTCGACGCAGAGGCCACGACTATGGTTCAGCAAGTTCAACAGCTTCTTCAGGCCTGTGCCAAAATTGCAACCAAGGAAGAGGTCATGGAGGTATCAGATGCAGAGGAGACCACAGCGGCACCGGCACCAAAGCGACAGCGATCCTTGGAGCCCTTTGGTGGTACTCCGGCTGCTTTGCCTTCGGACAGTATGTGACGGATGGCAGCGGCATTTCATGTCCCTTTTATGAGAATGATTGTCGTGTGCCTCCCCCCAAGAAGGCTGCACTAGACTGCGGATCTGAGGCCTACTTTGTGGAACCTTTTTCACTTGGTGCAGCAGGATCTGTTGGAGTGCACTCATCCTTCTTTACTTTACTCACTGCATGTCATAGTGCGATTTGGGACCCAAGTATCTATTTTGTCGATACCTTTGCGGCATTGGGCTCTGCATCGGATCTACATGGAGAACTTGTGCTCTCGATCGACCCACCATCTCAGTTGAGAACATCTTCGTGGAACAATTCGAACCTCAAAACTGTTCTTTCTACAGGAAGAAAAGGAATCACTCCCAAGTCGGTCAGTTTCTCGCACCTCATTGGGTACGTTGATCGTAGTGGTGGACTGGAGATTTGGTCGGATGAGGGAGCACCGATTGCGGTGAACTTGATGGCGAGGGCAGCCACTGCTCGAGCCTCACCTAGTTCATCCGAAGTTGACTCAGATTTTGAAGTACATCCTCCGTCATCACCTGCCTCTTTTGACGGTGAACGTCTCTGGAGATCAATTCAGGTTTTTGACATGCATCGGAATCAGGCCAGAGGGAGGGTGTTGGTCCATCCGCCAGAGGCGACATTCGCAGAGACGCGACGCCTACTCGGCTACTCACACCATGAAGTGGCCGATGTTTTTCCCATTACACCTTCTCCCTCCGACCTCAGTCATGCGCACATTGACCCGATGTTGATTCTTTGCCAAGATGATCTGCATTATGGAGATGTTAGAAGAGCCGTTCTGATTGATCTTGAACTCCATGGGGAGACTAGCGAGGCGATTATTGAAACTGATCGCTACACCACTTTTCTTCCAGAGTATGTTCATCGAGATCTACTCCTTCGTATTGCAGGAGTTGCGGCTTTCTGCGCCTTGCAAGAGAGCCGTTGCCTTGTTTGGCACAGAGGAGATCTAGTGCCACTCCAGAGCAGAGCTCTTCGTCACATCCAGCACGGTGATTACATCAGAATTGCTGCACCGCCTTTTGAGCACCCGTCAATTCCTTCGCATTTTGCAGTGAGAGCTTGCCAAGCTGGACTTAGCCGAGAGCAGCTTTTTCAGCATTTTCGCGTACATGGACCTGACGAAGGCAGCTTTCATACTGAGGTCACTGATGAACAAGATATGTTGGAGGAAGTCCTTGACCAAGTCGAAGCCAACACTTCAATCAACAATCTTGTGACCCTGCTTGATGAGGAGATGAGTACACTGCAGACTTCGTTTTGCCGCATCCCTACTTTCCTTGACCACCCGATTGGAGATAAGGGTCCTGATCTTGCTAGATGTAGCTTCACAGAAGAATTTCTACAAGCAGTCAGGGTGCAAGCCCAAGCTCAAGAAGCTGGCCAAGTATTACCACCTGATCTGCCTGAAATCCAAACGCAACCGCTCTTTCTGCAACAATTACATGAAGCTGCGCTTGCGAGGGTGAATCCACCCCAACCTGGAGAAGCGTTTGGCAGGATCGAAAGCTGGTACACCAATCATCTGCGACACCGACGCTGTTACCATACCAGGATCATTGAACTTGGGCCTGACTTTCGCACCTGGGAGCAGCAACTACGGCTGGAATGGATTGATCATATTGACACTTCTGTTGAGGTCGAGTTTCATATAGTTCATCCACTTCCAGAAGACACAGACCAAAGTGCTTTCGCGCAGATAGTCCTGGTACAGCAAGCCGATGAGCAACAACGCTCTATCGTTCTGTCCATTTACGATGCAGCATACGACAATGGGCAGCCACACTCCCACGCTGTGGTTATCCCACATCGAGCCAATCTTCGACTCATTACTGAAGTAGCCGACTTTGTAGAACATTGTCCTCCTGGTGCTCCAGACAATGACTGCCAGCTGTGGTTCGGCACACTTGAGATACCTGCCCATCAGCAAATTATTGTGAGGCATGGCTATGCTCTTAGGTTGACTGTGCGCCGACCGTTGGAATTTGACCTGCGCTCACTGCAAACCTCAAGTGTTGAAGAACAACGAAGACAGCTTACACTCGCTCTTCAAGATGCGGCCCGATTTGGACAAACGATCACACCAGTCAATGACAGCTGGCAACCAGATTGGATTAACGAGCTTGAGACTGCTTTTCATCAAGTTGCTCATACTGAATCACTGAGTGAAGGACCTGTTGCCTATGTGATGTCATGGCACCTTAATGGACATTCTGGCGCTCGCAATCTTTCACCTAGACGAGCTCGACTGCTTGCACCAGTTAGCTCATGGGAACAGGCCATCCTGAGCCAATGGAGAGATCTCCATGATCCTCGACAGCCAACTTTTTTCTACTATGTTGATCCCATGCCACCAGGGCAAGGAACTGGAGATGCCGGACACGTGCTCTTTGTGCAGCAGCCCATTGTGAGCTATGCTGCGATCTTGCTCTCTACGCTTTTTCCTGGAGATGTGAGAGCCGATTCACAACATGTTGCCGTCTACATCGCCAACCGACTCTCTGCAGATTCCGCCATCGCGCTCTCTTTGCTCCCTTCTGGGCTACAAGATCGACAGGTAGTGGTACGACGTGGTCGGCAGATCTTCCCTCTTGAAGGAGCGCCTCGAGTTGGAGATGGGGACAACATTATTGTTGAGGTCCTTCCACAGTCTGAGCACGACCCCTCGTTAGATGGCAGCTCTTTGCTTCAAATTGAGTCTGGCTGGAAGCATTTTCAACTTGTGCCGGACTTCCTTCAACATGCGCTGATTGCAGCACCTGGTGTAACCCAGCACAAGCTTGATGGTGTTGCGGAACCACCCTGTTTCCCCACCATCCACAGAGATGGGGCAGCCACTGTTGATCGGACCTTTGTCGATCTGCCCGCTGGACTTCGAGAGATGCGTGAGGCCTTCTCCTTGAATGCGGCGGTTGCCAATGAAGAGCAGGGCCCAACTGGCTTCGTTGATGCATGGTATCTTGGTGGAAATCGACCCATAGTCACGGAGCACTCCCGGGTCCTTGAACTCGATCTCGACCTTGGCGACTGGGAACCACGAATCAGAGAGCTTTGGCGCGACACTATTGACTGGACGCAGCCTCTTTGGTTTCTATGGGTGCATCCGGTACCCATTGCGTTGATTACACGCCATCGAATTGGACACCTTTTGATTGTGCAGTCCATTGAGCCACCCTTGGTACCAGTTCATCTTACTCTCCTTTTTGCGGGTAGGGGAAGAGAGAGGATTGGATTTGCTGCGGCACTGCTTAACAATCCTGTCTCTGTCGGGCCCACCCGTGATTTACTCCAGCTGGCACGAGTTTGCCTTGCACGACACTGCACTCTCCGATTTCAGCACCGCACATGGAATCCCCAAGACAGCATTGAAGTGCAGCCGGGTGCTGGATTGGAATTCCTTGTGATGAGCATATTATTGAGGATGCTGGCATTGAAGTTGTCACCGAGCATGTTGAACCTTTAATCCCAGCTCACCCTCCACTGGAACAGCAGCCGCAGTTCATTCGAGAACTGCATGGCTATTGGCTCAGATTAGCTGTGGATGGGCCGGGTGGTATCGAATCCATTTTGAGAGTTGAGACCTGGTATTTGGAGGGTGGCTACATCAGGCACAACGATGAGCACCGACAAGTAGTGCTGGGAGAGGACTATTGGGAGTGGGAGGTTGCGTTGCAGCGACGCTGGAGAGATTACATCAATCCAGGACAAGATGTCGACTATGTTGTAGTCACACCCACTCCTCCTACAGCCTCAAACCCATCGGAGATCAACATCATTCTCTACCAGCAAACCAGGCCCTTTGAATGTCCCAGCATTGTGACCACATATGACAATGGTCCTACAGGGACGCCCTTATACAGCCGCGCTTTTCTTGCCAACGGCAGTGAACAAAGATGAGGTTATCCGTAACACAGGGAAAACGCTTTTAAGCCCGCCACAGAAACCAACTTCAGTTTGCACGTGTTGGCATGAAGGCTTTGAGCTACAGGCTCGTCAACGCTTTCCCAACAGGAACGGTTTTTCTTTTCTTCTCATTGTCAACCGGGCCTTGCCCCCCCGATTTTTGGGAAGACAGGCTACATGAAGATCTTCCAGTCGATTCGGAAGCCGCCTCGAGCAATATACAGCCGGTTGGTTCTAGGGCAGTACCGGCTGCTGGGGAGCGCCTAACAACTGGGCAGGTGGCTCACACCCAGTGGCCCCCAGGGGACAATGATGGCAGACAAAGGGTCAACCTTCATGGGCCCATTGTGTCTTTTGAAGAGTTTGACTCTCACTTTTTGTTGCCGCTATTGGACTTGCCAGATGTCCCGGACACACATCCAGCCTCACCTTGGTTATCTGATTGGTGGGACTTTGCTACACCCGGTCAGGAGCTTTGGATTTATTATGATGGCTCTGCGCAAACCATTGAAGGGAGGCAATCGGCGAGCGCTGCTGCTGCGGCTTTTATCCGCATTGAACAACGATGATTCTTTGCAGGTGCTATTAGCACACCGCTCCCTTCTGCCTCTGACTCCTACACAGCAGAACACATGGTCTCGGCTATTAGCATTAAGATGGGCTACGACATTTTGAAGCTGCATGAGGCATTTGGCGCAGCTTGTCCGGAGCTCTGCTTCTGTTTCGACTCTTTGACGGTTGGGAGTCAGACATCTGGGCTCTGGCATTGCTTTCGATATGCTGTACTTGGAGCTGTGCTGCGTAACCTGCATCGTCTCATTGAGACTCGTTTTGACCCCACCATCCAACATTGGCACGTTCGAGGCCATTCAGGTCATCCAGGAAACGAGCTTATTGACCTTCTTGCGCAACAAGCACATACCAAGCCAGCCGACTCCACCACGAGCTGGCTCACTACGCTCAATTCCAAGCCTTTCATGAAGCATTCGGACTGGTTTTTGATACTGTTTGACCAAGAATTCCTCCATCATTGGCAACAGCACCAACTGCATTTCGATATGCCAGTTACTACACCCAGCTTGATGGTTCTCGGTGAACATGGACCTGATGGGAAAGATGCTAATGACCCTCTGCCAGTACAAGTGCATCTTCGCCTTGCCACTTGTAATGTCCTCTCTCTTTGTGGTCAACGAGATGAAGGTACATGTGGCCTACAGGGGCCGGCACGCCAGCAGGCTCTCCTCCAGCAAATTGCGGAGGAACGCATCACCATTTTTGCACTTCAAGAAACCCGATTGAGGCGACTGCACCAGAGTCACTCCGATGACTATTTCCTCTTTCGGGCTTGCGCAACCGAACATGGCCATTTCGGCATCATTGTGGGCATTGCGAAACATCTTCGATTTGCTTCCACTATGACAACTGAGCCACGTGACACACGCAGCTTCAGATTCAAGGAAGATAATCTGGCTATTGTACATCAAGCTCCCAGAGTATTGATACTCCGAGTCACCACCGACTTCCTTAGTTTCCTGATTGTGGCCTGCCATGCGCCCCATACCGGCAATAGTGCTGAGGACATTGCCGCATGGTGGCGAGATGTCACTGACCTTATTCCAAAGACCTATCAAGATTGGCCGATTATCCTTCTTGCTGACCCCAACGCTGTAGTCGGCCATCATCCAAACTCTGCAATTGGCAGCCATCAAGCAGGACCTCACGAAGAAAAAGCTGAGACCTTTGAAGACTTTATTCACCGACACAATCTCTGGTTGCCTGCAACTTTTGAGGAGTACCAACAGGGGCCTTGACACATGGACTCATACCAACGGTAAGTCGCGAAGAATTGACTATGTTGGTCTGCCACGGGCCTGGCCTTTGGAGCATACTGAAGCTTGGATCAGCTCTATTATTGATCCTTCAATCACTGCTACTGACCATGCGGCAGCATGTGTTGATCTTCGCTTCAGGGGCTACTCCAAATCCAAGAGGACTTCAAGGAAGAGTGACAACCTGAAAGGGCTATGCACCAAAGATTGTGATCTGATGGCCTTACGGCAATTGGACTATGTCCCTCACGATGTCAATGTGCACACCCATGCCTCTCTTCTGCAGGACCAGCTGATTCAGGTCCTACGTCCACAGTGTGGGAGGCAGTGCAAACGGCCTAAGAAGACCACCTTGACAGATGAGACTTGGCAAGTTGTACTGCAGAAAAGAGATGCGAGGCAGCATTTGGCTGACCTGAACACACGACAAAAACTGGACCACCTTCGCATTCTCTTTCACAGCTGGAAGGAAGGCATTGCCGTTGAAGCAAACTTTCGTGGGGAGTTTAACTCTCTTCTCTTCAAGCAGGATGTATTGATTGCCCAAGCCTATGCTGAGTTTCGACATCTGGGGAGAAGAGCAGTTCACCTGCTGCGAAGAGACGATATTGCTTTCTACAATACTCTGCTGGCCGAGGGAGCTGATTTTCTTGACCCTAAGGATGTGAAGCGTTTTTGGGCTGTTATCAGACGTTCGCTGCCCCGTTTCAAGCAGAGGAGAAGGCACCCGGCACCCTTGCATATCGAAGCTCTGGATGGGAAGATTGTGCCCCACCTTCAAGAACTTGAACTCGGTGATTGCACACAAGAAGAAGATCTGCTGCGTTCTTGCCACCAGAGACAACTTCAAGTTATGCGACAATTGGATGAGAGGGTTCTTGATGCAGATGGCCTGCCCTCTCTTACCAGCTTTGAGACATCCTTGCGTACGACCACGCCCAATCGAGCAACCGGTCTTGATCTAGTTCCTTCTAGACTTCATCATGATCAGGCACCATTGATCGCCAGATTCTATTCCTCTTTGTTGCTGAAGATCCACATCTGGTGTGCCGAGCCCTTACAATTTAAAGGTGGAGTCATGTGCCTCATCCACAAGGAAGGGAGTCTCCAGGAAGCTCACAACTACCGAGGGATTCTCCTTCTGGCATCCATTGCGAAACGGATTCACAGCATGATGAGAGCGACACTGATGAGCACTTTGACACCTCACCGTGCAGAAGGGCAGATTGGTGGATTTGAGGGCCAGATGGTTCAATTTGGATTCCACTCGGTGACCACATGGACGCGGATCCTGGATGTCAAGGGTTTCAGCACAGCTGTTCTCTACCTTGACCTGGCTAGTGCGTTTCATCACCTTATCCGTGAATTCGCCTTGGGTGTCTCTAACGAGGAGGATTTCACAGAGATTTTGAGTGATTTGCGAGCTGCTGGCCATCCAGTTGAAGCAGCTCATCATGGGACCAGACTCATTGGCACTCTGGCGCACTACGGCTGTGATGATAGACTTTTACATCTTTTCCGCGATATTCACACTGATACTTGGTTCACTGTCTCGAAGAAGGAGATTGTACGAACGAAAAGAGGGACGCGACCTGGATCGCCTTTGGCTGATGCAATCTTTCATCTTGCTATGTCACAGATTATGACTGAGGTTCGAAGCTGGCTCAATGAGCAGACTTCCTTCACTGCGATCCTGGAAAAACATGACCTTCCAGTTCTCACAGTCATTTGGGCTGACGATGTTGCCATCCCATGGGTGGCTGCTGACTCCGAGGTCATTGTGCCTGAACTTTGTCGGCTAGTACAACAAGTTGAAAAGACCTTTGCCAAAAAGGGATTCACTGTCAACTTTGATTTGAACAAGACCAATGCTGTGATCAGCTTTCAAGGCAGAGGAGCTTCCGCGATGCGCAAAGAATTTCTTCTTACAGAGCGACCAGGGGTTCAATGCAAGCTGCAATCTGGAAGAGATGTTTGGTTGCATTTCAAACCCTTTTACAAGCATCTGGGCTACACCTATGCTGCCACGCAGTCACTTGATGTGGAACTGCGTCATCGCATTGGTCAGGCACAGCAAGCGATGGCCACTCTGGGTCGACCGTTTTTGACGAATCGACATTTCCCAGTTGAGGTTCGTCTACGGATGTTCCACGCACTAGTGGCGACAAAACTCTTCTATGGTTTGGGCACATGGAGGACCCCGACATTGAGGCAGACGCACACTTTGAGGAAGGCCTACATTGGCTTCTTGCGTAAGGTTCTACGCCTGCCTTATGATGCACATCTCTCCAATGCGCGCGTCCTCTTTTTGGCCAATACAGTAGATGTTCGCATTCTTCTAGCCCTTGATCGATTGAGTTATGCGCGCAGGGTTTTTACGGTTGGGCCAGACTTTCTTCAGCATTTATTGCATGTTGATTGTGGCAGTTCAGCTGATTCGTGGTTGCATGGCCTTGCAGCGGATCTCCGCTGGCTCAATACGGTCGTGCCAGGAAGTATCCCTTTCACCGACACCATGGACTTCACTGAGGCTATTGACTTTTGGCAACATCGGTCTTTGCCTTGGAAGCGCATTCTCAAGAGGGCCAAGGCGATTTGTGCTACACAGGAGCACATGATGACCGATTTGCATGCGCTCAGCACAACCTTCTTTGGAATTCTAAAGGGCGCAGGTGCCGAATTTGACCCGGATCCCGCCGATGTGCAGGAGCCTACCAGGGAGGATTCTCAC